CTGCCAGCCTAGCAGGTCAGCAAGTCCAGACACGAGAGCTATTAATGATCAAACACACACCCTTTCACTGTTACCTCTCGGACGGACACGTTGCAGCCACGACACTGACTGCAGGGCACAGGGGAGATGGTGAGGGCAGATTATGATGGAAGCTCCTACCTGTCAGCTGGAGCATTACTGAGGACATGGGGAACAGCTCCAGTGCTCTGACAGTGAAAACTGGTGGAGGACACGACCAGAGGAATCTGGTTTCACACCAGTGCAACCTGATACCAAATGTTCTGCAGTCCCAGCAGAGAGAATCACAGACTGGTTTGGGTTGGAAGAGACCATGAAGATCATCTTGTTCCAACCCCCTGCCATAGGCAGGGACACCTTCCAAGGACTATTTAGACTTGGGTTGCCACATCAGAAAGTTCTGAGAACAATGCACTGTGCCTAGGAGTGACTGCGAGTGATTTGTGCACAGAAGCTCCTGCTTTCCTCCTCTGCTCTGTTCCCCAAGGGATACAACATATCACACCCACATAGAGGGTTCACACATGAGAGCCAAGTAAGGCCAGGCCTCAGTCTCCTCTGTGTCCTCATCTCAGGTTTTCCCCTAAAATGCCACCACAACATTTCCACTTTCCATTTCCAGGGAAATCTGTGCTATGAGGATAATGTCCTTATTTGGCAGCCTGGAGAGCTCCACTGGCAGAGATCAGCACCCACCTGGGTGTCACTGAGTCTACTTTGGCCTGAACAAAGTCTAAACTTCCTCTCCATCCTTTGCCAGCCAATGTGCACACAAGCCAAACTTCCAGAGCACCAAACAAGTGACCTTGCCAATAAGGTGTCCTGCATTTGGACCTCCCAGAGCAGAGGACTACCTCCCATTCCACTAACTCCACAGGCACTAGGGAAGTCTGGTCTCTGCTCTAGTCACACCCCACTCAGCTCACTGACCACACTGAAGCCTCTGGCACTACAGATAAAGCCAAGGGAAACAAGGAGTCAGGTCTGTTGCACTAATCCTCCTTCCACCTGGAAAGAAGATGAGGGGCTGCACTTGCTGAAGCTGTGCTGTGACCCAGAATTACCTCCACACCTTCCTGGATGGCCTTGGGAGCTCCAGGAGTCATTTCCCTGCTGCAGTGCCTTAGGCCAAACAGGGCAATAAAGCCATAAACGTGGCCTGGGAACAGCTGTCTGGTGGCAAGTGGCAGGGAGGGGTCATTATCTGGGCTACTGAGGGAGATTAGAAAACAATCAAGACCATGTTAAAGTTCAGCAGAGATGGCACCTCCAGTCCCAAACATTCTTTCTGGCCTTGAAATCAGCAGATTAAGACAATTCCAGGGTTGGGCTATGCCCAGAATTTCTCATTAGGCTTTTTACCCTCATAAGCTTTTAAGGGCACAGGTGGTTGGCCAACAAGGCAATGACTATGCAGATGTGAGCACAGGCAGGACTGAAGGCCAAGCTGCTTTCTGCTCACGTAGCTGTGTCAAAGAAGAAGAGGAGAAAGGCTTGGGAAGGCAAAATCCCCACAAAGGAAGGAGGTGTACCCACTTTTTCAAAATGTCTTGCTTCTTCTGTTCATCAGAGGTGGGCAGGCCCATGGATTTCTGTCGCTGATCATACATCATCTTCTCCACCATGCTGCGAGTTTCACTGTCCAGGTCTGACAGCTGAGAACAACATCAACACTGGAGCAACTTGGCTCAAGTGAGAGAAAGCCTTTGAGAAAGGCTTTTGTACAACATCCCCTAAACCAGGGCAGTTCTTACCTTTGAGTTCTCTGGGTTAATCTTCTTGGTGTTGATTTCTGGGTCTGTGGAGACCAATTTGTTCCACCATTCCATCTTGTTGATCTAGAGGATGAAGAAGCAAAAAATAGCTTATTTTTCCTGGACTTGCTCTAGGAATTTTAAGTCTCAGTCACAGGAAAAAAAAAAAAGCTGCTGGAATCAAGTTTTATTTGACAGTTTTCTAAAATCAGTAAAATCTGAGCATGGATAAAGGGTACTAGTTCCATTCCAAACCACTTTAGGCAGCCTGAGTTTCCACAACTGAGAAATCTGAGCATGTCAGATGTCCTGTTTGGCATGACATAAATGGGATTACAACAAACCACCTGGAGTAGCCCAGAAGAGACACAATAAGGTCTGTCCCTGGATTTTCATGCCACTAACATGTCAAAACACGACATGATTCTATTAAGGAACAACTTTAAAATGACTGATTCCCTTCCAGCTTTTCCTGAACTGCTGAGAAACCCACTGGATAGCCTGGATCAGCAATATCTCACTTCCAGTGACATCACTGACACTGCACCAAGGATAATCATAGTGGTTGTGTTTCAGCTGGAAGCCCAGAGCTGTGTCTGGCTCTTATTTCACCTGGCAAACAGCAGACAAGCCTGAATCCTCCCCCAGTCCATTCTCCTTTACCTTCTCCAGGTGCACAGTGACTGTTTTACCATCTTCAATGAGCCAGGAGCTCTCCTCCACCTTCACCTCATTGAAGAGCTCTCCATCAATGACAGGAGCATGGCCCTTCAGGCCGACTTTGAGGCGCCGTCTCTGGATGTCCACCACCATATCCTTCCCCTTCAACCTGAAGTTCACCTTGAATGGGATGGCCAGCTGGGGCAGACAAACAGCAGAGCTGAGCAGTGAAGCCTCTCCTTACCCTCCTATCCCACCATTCCAAGAGTTTCTGCCTTGGTTTCACCAGACTCAGACTGTTTTCCTTGAGTGAGTGGGAGGTGGTAGGATACAAGGGACCATAAAAAGGGAAGCAGATTTTAATGTCTGTTTAAAACAAGACAAAAATTTGGCAAACTACAGTTTCTGGGAATTTTATTCACTTACCAAGCTCTCTCTCAACTATTGAAACACTGTTCTTAAGTATAACTAACAACCTTCCACAGGGAACTGAAACACAGGGAGTTGACTCCTCCACCCTTCCCAGCACCTGCTCTTACTCCCTTATCTCAGATTCCTTAGATCGTGGTAATAAAACTCTACTTACATCCAATTCTGAAAGAGTCTGTGTCCATCTATAATTTGGAAGATCAGCTCCATTGCCAGAGTTGGGTTTAAGTTTTCCTTTATCCTTCTCATCTTCCTCTTCGTCATCTGTTCCCTAAGGAACCAATTCAAGTGCAAAGAAAGAAGCTTTTCAAGTTTCCATTTATCTTTCACTTGTAACAACAACTTTTGGGTTTTATAAGAACTCCAGTCAGGTTCATGTATTTGATATCCACATAAATTTAGCCCAAAATAAGTAGGTGCCTCTGTTAAAATGTGATTTTAAAAAAAAAAAACGACAAAAAAACCCCAAAATCCTTACTGAAACCTTTGGGAATTGTGTGTATTTTTAAAATAAGCCAGACTGAACACTCCCTCACACACACAGGAGTCCTCATGATTGCCCAGAAACACATTTCTTTCAGCCTAAGGCCAGGTTGGACAAGGTTTGGAGCAACCTGGGCCCATGGCAGGGGGTGGGACTGGATGGGCTTTAAGGTGCCTCCAATCCAAGCCATTCTGTGATTCTAAAATAAATGCCTGAGATGAGCTTTACCTGTTTGTTAGAATCTGAAGATTCACCTTCATCCTCTGAGTGTTTCACTACGACATTGTTCACCTGTCCTTGTGCCTCCTTCTTCTGTAGAAAAAGAGAAGGAACTTGCTCAGCCAAGTGCTGTCCCTGTGTCACTTCCCGACCTGGCACTAGATGGCCTCAGCCTTTTCAACTCAAACCAAAGAGCAGGAACTGCATCCAAGACTTTGAAAACAGGGAATTTTCAGCCCTTAGACAAGGTAGAGGAAAGAGGTACAACCAAGGAGGAGATTCCCTTTGTCCTCGCACCTTGGTGACTGCAGAGGAACACGCAAGGAATACACCTGAGCCGTTTTAACCCCTCACTGCTCCCTGAGCCACACACAGGTAAGCAGAGATCACCTAGCTGGCACCTGCAGGCCCCAAACAGCACTCTCACCTGGTCGATTTCTAGCTGCAGCCTTTCTGCTTCCTCATCTGTGAGTTCCTTGATCCTTGGCTCGTTTGCTTCCTGCTTTTCCTTGGCCAGTTTGGCCGCACGCTCGGCCTTCTCACGCCTCTCAGCCTCCTGACGAGCCTTCTTCTCCTTCCTTTCCTTCTGGGCCAGTTTGTTGTGGTGGTTGAAAGCATCTGTGATCAGCTGAGGGACAGGAACATAGGTCAGAGAGGTTTAAAAAAATCCCCAGTTTCCAACCCAACCCTCAGCCTGCTGAGGAGCACAGGAATGTTAGTTAAATCACACAGATGTTGTGGCTTTTCCCTCCACTTGTTTTCTGACTGAAAATCTAGAGGTTTTTCGATTCAAAAAAGAGAGAAGAGAGAGAAAAAAAGGAAACTAAAAGAGAGAAAATTCAAAATATTTAAATGTAGCCCTTCCCAGTCCTTCCTTACACAGGGACTATGTCCATGGAGGTAACATAGGAATAAAAATTCTCCCATTTGGTTTGTCCTTTGTGCCATTCCAGCAGGACAAACACATGCCCAACTCATCCATCTGACAGCTACTCCATAAATCCAGGACAGCTGGAAGAACAGAGACACCAGATCCAAGTTTTTTTACCTACTTCTGACCTTTCCCATGACTGGGCTTTTCTCCAGGTGGAGCTTCAGTGCCACAATTCAGAGGAGAAACACTTGAAAAACCTCTGCGTGTTATACTGAGGGGCAAGTTCCTCCCTAAACCTTTTGTTTCAACCTCCCTCCAAATTCTCCAAAGGTTGTTGTGACTATGAGAGGCAAAACAGATCCAAGTTTTTTTACCTACTTCTGACCTTTCCCATGACTGGGCTTTTCTCCAGGTGGAGCTTCAGTGCCACAATTCAGAGGAGAAACACTTGAAAAACCTCTGCGTGTTATACTGAGGGGCAAGTTCCTCCCTAAACCTTTTGTTTCAACCTCCCTCCAAATTCTCCAAAGGTTGTTGTGACTATGAGAGGCAAAAAGGTCTCTGAA